ATCAAGTGATCGAACAACCATAGGTTAAGCCATGGATGTGCATTATCCATATAAAATTGTTTCAAAACTATTTCTCACTACACCAAAAAAGGGCTTTTGCAGCGGTCAAAAAACGCTGCAAAAGACCTTTTGCAGCGTTTTTCCAAGTGTTGCGAAGGCCGGTGTTGTCGTAGAGGGAAGATTCTTTTGCAGCATTTTTTAAACGTTGCGATTGACACTTTTGCAGCGTTTTTTCAGCGTTGCGGTTGACCCTTTTGCAGCGTTTTCTCAGCCTTGTGGTTGACCCTTTTGCAGCGTTTTTTCAACGTTGCTATAGACCCTTTTGCAGCGTTTTTTCAGCGTTACGGTTGAGCCTTTTGCAGCGTTTTTTAAACGTTGCTGTTGACCCTTTTGCAGCATTTTTTAATCGTTGCGGTTGACCCTTTTGCAGCGTTTTTTCAGCATTGCGGTCTACCCTTTTGCAGCGTTTTTTCAACGACGTGATTTTAATATTTTTTAAAAATTAATTCGCATTTTTAATATAAATGCTTACTACGCTACCGAAAATCATATACTTTGTTCTACACATTCAACCTAATTGTAATTTTACACTTTTTTCCATAAATAAAATATCCAGTAAATACAGAGATGTAATAAGACATCAAAAAATATAAAAAATCATAATTAAAAGGAGAAAATACGCTCTTACATTGAAATTAATTACACCATGCAATATTGAACTCATATACATTTTGCAATATTCAAAATAATTTCATTATACATGTTTCTAGTTTAAAATAGTGACCCGCAGCAAAAACATCTTTTCCATCAATCCGATGAGTACAAAAAGTGGAATAATTCATATTAGATTTTTCTCCCATGCTCAGCAAGTTTGGATTGATATTCTATAGCATCAAAAAAGGAGTTGCTGGTGCCAACATGAAAGTAAGCCATGTTTGAGTGATGTGTATAGACTTAACTGACTTGATTGAAGAAAGATTGTTGAGCAAATTAAAGACAGGAGATTCCTGCATAGAAGTGGAAAATCAGTCATTAATTGAAGAGCAAAAAGCCAGGAAACAAAAAAATGAATTTACCAAAAAAAACCCACAACTTAAATACCAAAGCAACACTATTTTTTTTTCTCCCAAACTGTGGTTTTAACTTTTCAAGACTAGCTATATTCCACTAAAACACATCATTTCTCTTTAACCCATTTCTTTATCATTTCAATCTAAAGATAGAATAGTTGAAGAAAATTTATAATTAAATCCAATAATTACTTCAAATTGAAGCATGTGCGCACAAACCATTATGAAATCAATAAAGGAATATAAGAAACAAGTAATTGACTAACCCAACCTACCAAGCTATAAATCTAGTGATACACTTAAATTTGAGCCCTAGGTAGAGTTCTTCCACTTCACTGAAGAGGCTAGCTCAGATAATTAAAGGGGTGAGAGATTAAAGGACTTGGAATTAGAGGCTAGCAATCCAAATCCTGTATCAAGACTTGAAAGGAATTTGATTAACAGGTGCACTTATTTGATACCATTGCTAAAACAAAGTTCAGTCCAACACCATAATTAAATCAATCTAACTTCTACCTCTAGTGAGCTCCATATTGACAGCATTACTTCCTAATTGCTCGAGACTTGCCATATGCTGAACAGAGTATATCACCCTCTCTCACTTTCTTCTTCCAACCATACTTTGGCTGCCGTTTCCCGATAAGATGGAAGGTGGGTTATTTGTTGCTTTAAATCTTCCAGGCGTAAGGCCTTGATACAGGATTTGGATTGCTAAAATAACCAAGTGTGGCTGCCCATGGTGGAGGGGGGTAGCTAGACGAGTACTGAAGTTGAGGTTGAGAACGAAGTTCTAGCTGATGTTGAGGTCGACTAGGGAATTGAGGTTGAGGTTGAGGTTGTGGTTGTGGGAGTTGTGGCTGAGACAGGAGTATAGGTGAAGGCTGTGATCGAGCCCATGTATACATAATATGCAACCACTTTCAACCATCAGCCGCACCCAATTTAGAGCATCTGAAGTCCTCCCCTAACACAATATGCATTGATCAAAATGTGGTATGTATAAACATCTGGTTCACATCCAAATTTCTTCATTACATGCAACAAACTTTCTCCAATCCTAACACATCCTCTTCTACTAGTCTTCCTCATCCTCCCCAATACATCTAATGCTTGTGAGCACAAGCATCAGATCAGAACAAATAACAAAGGATCACAAGCATTAGATGTCGGGTCATGTCGATTTTGTTAGCCCAAGAATAACTAACCAAGAAGGGGTGATTGGTTATTGAAACTTTTTCGTCAATTACTCAAGATTCTAATATAGAG